AATGCTTCCCAAGCATTTTCATATGTATCATCTGTCACTTGATAATTATTGAGGATGTTTTGAGATGCAGGTTCTATCTTTATAGAACTTTTCAAATAATGAAATTTGTCGATGTTAGAGAATGATGAATTCGTGTGTACTAATGATACGAAAGTATTACGGAAAGTTAACCATTTGTCGAAACTTTCATCAAATTCTGGCAATTTGATTTCTGGTAACTTGACTTTTCTTACTTGATGGCGTCGATTTCATTTTCTCGAATTGAAACATCGAACTGTCTTTCTGATTTTGCTTTTATTTTATTAAACAAAAATTTAAAACCTAGATGCTTCGATGTTATTTGCTTTTTGAACGTTGAAAAAAATTCACTGTCTAGATCAACATCATCCTTCTTTAAGTTTTGATAATCATTGTAATGTTGCATAAATTTAATTAGATAATTATCTAGGATGTTGTAAGCTGTACTCATATCATCGATGTCTTCATAATCAATTCCTGGTTCATGTATTTCCATCAAAATTTCATATGCATCAATAATGGATCGCATTTCTATTTTTTGAGCATCTATTGCTTTTGCTCGTGCCATTGTCAAATACTTAAATTGTTTATTATTTGTCAGACTCCTAAGAGATATGACACTGCAATACAGTTGGATGAAATAACAATATAAGACTTATTTAATATGAAACGAATACATTAATTTGAGTATGATAATCGAATAAGAAACTATTCGAAGAATAATAACGATTAAAAATTATTTGAATTTTAACGGTCTAAGAAATTTTGAACTAATTTCAGTTCTAAGTTTTTAGTACACAGAATAACAAGTGATAGTTTGAGAATTTTAACTGTTATTTTAACTGTTAAATGACTAAAAACATTAATTAATCCTGAATAAGAATAATTACTAAATGATTGACTGTGTCCTAGAAGCCATCAAGAGATACGACGATTATGGAATTGATCAGCAGCAAAAAGCAGGTCTATTTTGCCAATTAAGTATTTTTTCACTTCTAATTTAAATTTAATTAAGTTTTTAATTTCTTTCAGTTCCTTTGACAACTGATTGTACAGAATAACACCGAGATATGTGATATCTGTGCCTAGTTGTTGCTTCTTCCTGAATCTCGATGCTATCAAGTCTCCAGAAGATCGTCTGTTGCTATTTGACACATTAAATTTGATTAATTCGTCCTTGTTCAGAACTAGTGATTTGTGGATGTTTGTGATGAGTGAAGCGTATATAATACCAATGACGGGAAGTGTATTTGTTACGTATGTCTTAAATAGATCTAAAGTTGAATGGCAGGCATCCAGTCCAAAGATTAATTTAATGCAGCGATTTTGGATTCTTTGTAATCTCGCGATTTCTTCTTGATTGAATTTGGCAAAGATGAAAGAACAGAAATACAGGTGAGACATTATGTGCCCGTTGAAAAACTGTAGCAGCAATTCTCTTGGAAGATGATGCCTGATAATTGAAAGAGCACGACAAGACTGCGTCAATTTATCCATTAAGTTGGAATGATGCTCTTTGAAATTAAAATCCTCATCAAATGTCACTCCAAGAAACTTGCTACTTGTTACTCTTTGAATATTGATGCTTCCACTAATTGGCAGTGATAAAGGAATCGTTGAGTTGCCAGGAGCTCCTATCACCATAAAATTTGTTTTTGAGTAGTTAAGCTTCAATCCACTGCTTTCAAAGTGTCTTGCCATTAAGTGAACATCAGCAATCATTTCATTCATTGTAACGACAATCTCATTTTTTTTGCATTTTTTATAGATAACATTGTCATCGGCAAATTTAATCCTCTGTGATGAAATAGGTGGAGAGTCATAAAGATTCACATTAAATAAGATCGGACTTAATATTGATCCTTGCGCGACTCCTTCATCGATAATAGCGATGCTGCTGACTACATCATCAATTTTAACAGCTTGTGAGCGATTACTAAAATAGGAAGACAAGAGAGTGTTAACGTGTCCTCGTATACCAAAATGCGATAACTTTTCAAGCAGGACGTCTCGATTTAATGTATCGAACGCAGCTGTTAGGTCCATGAAGATGACAACAACTGAATTTCCTTCATCAAGATGTTCCGTTATTTCATGTGAGAATCTCAATATAGCATCATTAGTTCCAATATTTCTTTTATAACCGTATTGCTCTTTGTCGTTGATTTTGTTGGAGTCCAAAAAGTATTGAACTCTATTGCAAATGATTCTTTCAAAAATTTTGTTTATGGTCGGCAAGAGAGCAATCGGTCTGTAATTAGAAATGTCACTTTTGTCACCTTTTTTGTGAAGTGGCTTGATTGTAGCGAATTTTAATGAGTCAGGATAGTGACCTTCGATGACAATTTTGTTAATGAGAAGTGTAAGTGGACTTACTAGAAGATTTTTTAGTTCCTTAATCACTCTACAAGGGATTCCGTCACTGCCTGTAGCTTTTTTAGCATCTAAACAGTCGATGACAAAAGCAACTTCTTCAAACGTCACGACATCAAAGTACATACATGCGTCGACTCTTGGTATATGGTTTAAAGATTCAATTGCAGCTGATAGTGAGAGTGCGGGATTTTTGGTAGTTGAGCTAAATTTGTTATTAAAAATTTCTGCAATCTCTTTCTTGTCATTAATAATTTTGTCATTGAAGGTAATAGTTGTGGTTGATGTGGATCTGTTTTTTCCTAAAATTGTGTTAATCACGTGCCAAGAATTATTTTTATTGTTGCTGATCAAACTGGAATAGAATTTCCTTGAGATTACATTGCTGTGCTTGTCAATTGTAGATTTTAAAAAATTCAGTTTACGCCTTAAATTGCTTGCAGGTCTACCATTACTTTCTAAACAATTTATTTTCTTTAGCAGGTTTGTCATTTTGTTGCTAAGTATATAATACTTTTGATCAGCCCATTGTGGATGTACATCGCTGTTTTTCATTAAAATAGATTTCAATGATGTGCTTGATTCCATGGCGTCACGAATTGAGTTGGATACATAGTCATAGCAATCAGTAGCAGGTAGATCAAGCAATAAATTTTCGTCGCACTGAAAAATGTCTTTTAGTTGCGTATAATTGCATCTTTTACTAACCATTGTTTTCGTTACTCTTTTAGGACCCGAACTATTCAATAAGGATAGCAGCAAATTGTGATCGGATGACAGCAATGGCTTAGAAGTGAGTGTCTCAACAGATACATTCGATGGAAAGTTTTTGACTATAAAGTAGTCAATTAACGTCTCGCTACTGTTTCTAGTCACTGCATAATTGGTAATTGAAGCTCCGGAAGTGTTGAGAATATCTGTAAATTCAGTCGAAGTCCGATCCAACTTGAAGTTATTTATGTTGAAATCGCCCGCAATAACGAGCATATTGTTGGTATTAAGAATTTCTTCAAGCTTTTGAAAGAATGAGTCTATGCAGCCTAGTGGAGGGCGATACACTGCGTAGAAGATGGTTTTCAAATTCTTATTAGTAACAACTATAGATAAGTATTCTATACTATTTAGACTTTCATGTTTAATCAATTTTGCGACGTGCTTGTTGTGAACGTATATTTTTACTCCTCCACCATTTATATTGGGACGACTGCATGAAAAATGCTGATAATTATTAAGTTTGTAAAGATCAAATTTTGAAGAATCATTCGTCCATGTTTCCGATAAAATAAGAATATCAATTTCTTTGCTCACGAATTCTGCAATATCGTTTTTGAATCTCTGAAAGGCATTTAATGATTTAATGGAGCGGACATTCCAGGTGATAATTTTCAATTTATTTATGTTGTTAGGATGTATTATGTACTTCTCAAGAATATTTAAATCATAATTAATGCTATTATCCAATTTCAGAGGCAGAATACGTGAGCTATCATGTCAGTTGTCATTGTCTTGAAGAGAACTAAAGGATGAATTTATACTTTCATTTATATCCATTACATCATTATCAGTTGCATTAGTGACGCTTTGAGAATTTATCTTTTGCTTTTTGCTGGTTCCTGAATTTGTTGTATGAGGATGGATATCGTCGTCTGGTTTCCGTTTTTCGTTGACAATAACTTTGCTGACATGCTTCCGCTTACTACTTGAAGGTGTATTTATTTTTTGTGACCAGTAATCTGAATTATAAAAAGTCCTTGTAGGAACATTGCAGTTTTTGGATGAAATATCCTTTCTTAGTTTATCCAGATTAGAAAAGTTCCTGATGTGAACTTTTTTTGGCTTCTCATTAGGGTCACTTGGATTTGATTTATTAAGAGTTACTTTAATGGAGTCATCTCCTAAAAACACCTTACTCACTGAACCGTCAAATTGGAGATCATGACAAATTCTTTTTAGTTTGTTGATGTCGTACGAGGTGGGCTGAGAGAAAATTACATCAGGACTGTTGGCATTTTGTTTATTTTTCTTTATCATTTCCATTATTAGTCTCTCTGATGTAAAAGAGTCACTAAAATGGATATAGAGATAATTTGTGAATTTATTCACGTTATTAATCTTTTTCATTCCAGATAAGATGATAGCCTTTGTGATGTATGCACGTCCCAAGGATAATCCTTGATCGTTGATTATCTTCTCGGCAATGGCTGTACTGTTATCATGTGCAGTCTTTAGAACGTTATCATTCTTTAAGTAGATTATCATTTGTGACTTGTAATAACGCACATCGGTCTTTACTTTCAGTTGCTGTATGTCATTATCGTTGGATTTAACGTATTCTTGATGGCGCCTTGAAAGATCTTCAGCTTTGTTATTCAGTTGTTCAGTGATATTTTGGAATGATTCAGTATTTCCATCAAGTGTTTGTGCTATTAAGGAGGAGTTTGCAAAATTTGTTTCAACAGCATTTGAGAGTGATGAGTAGGCATTGACGAGGACAGAAATCATTTTGTTGATATCTTTATTTCCATCTAAGGAGTCTAGTGACTGCTGCAGCTCTGTTTTAGTAACAAAGCTAGGTTTCGTGAGGTTGTCAATAACATTGTCGAATTCACTGTCGTTCACTGAGAATGGTTCTGATACGCTGTCCTTCTTGTCTGGCAATGTATTATTGTTCGTTCTCTGGATGTAATTAGAAATTTTGTTTCCATTATTTGCAGTTTTTGAAGGTTTATTTTTCGGATTCTTGTTTTTTGACGATGGACTCATTTTGATACGATTAAACCAGATAAATCAATAGAATATTGTTCACCTGACGATTGAATTGCGATAATATTCAGAGAATATTCGCCAAATTCAGTCCAGATGTGAGCAACTCTAATTTGATTACAAGATCTAACCTTAATCGCTTTGTCCAAAACAACAAAAGGCCTAAATTTTTCGTGAGCCTAAATGCAATCGCTTTATTCGCTTAGTTAGCGATTTTTGGTTTTATTGCTTAAGTGTCCACAGTTTGCAAGTTGATTAATAATATGTTGATAACTTCCAATAGACTTCAATGACCGATAAAACTTAAAAATTAATTAAAACGAAAAATAGAGTGAAGCACACTTGCTCTCGCGACTTGATCTTCTCTCTTGAATTCTGCTTCTTAGAGATGATAACTGCGCTCTTGCGTAGGGTTCACGCTCGTTTTCAAATTTTCTTGATTTTAACAAGTATAATATGAATCTAGCTCTTGAACCAGTTCAATCAACTCCAAAACACTGAATTCTTTTCTTGACCAAACTTCAAAAATTCAATTTCAATTAAAGATGCTGAAATTTCAGCGTTTATGATGTGCTGTCCAATTTTCAATTTGTTGATATTTCACTTTAATTATTCAATTTCAATTTCAAAGGGTACTTGCGTTGCGTTGCAAATTTCTCAATTACTCAATTTCTTCAACTTTTTTTCTCAATGTCTTCCAACTTCTAAAGATTCCAACTGTTCCAATTGCAAGGTTCGAAGGACTATGAAAAACGATAGCAAGATGATTTTCCAGTGGACTGTATTTCAATTCCAATAATAAAAAGAATTACAAAAGAAAATTCTATTTATTCACAATTTCAAATTATGCGTGATCAATTTCCAATTATCAATTTCAACTAATATCAAATATATTCCAAGCCTCCTTAAATCATGATGAATTCGATTCATCAATATTTTTTGATAAGTTTAAGCTGGTTTAAACATACAAAGTAGGTGAAAGTTTACACGCCTACGTTCTTTGCATATTTTATATCCATACACAGCAAAAAGTTGGCGAGTTCTGACAAAATGTTCAAAAGTTCAGTTACATAGAACATACATACAAAACAGACACATGTATTACCAAATTTGGTAATTTTTTTTTTGTTTTATTCCATACTTTTAGAGAGAGGTGGATTTTACACCAATAGCCGTTCTGGACATGAAACTGATCTAGATTAATCTATTGATAATGCACCTACTTTATATTGAATCATACAATCGTTTGAAATTCTATCGATTTTTTTCTATCGTCATTGTTGAAACTGTGTTTAAAATTATATACAAAATTGGAACTAATTACTTAATTACACAAACTTCTGTAGTTATTTTTAATTGAATAAAATTGAAGTTTTACAAATTTCTTTAGACATTTGTATTTTTAATAAATATTCATTCAATTATAAGAGAAAACATATTTTTGGATACAACATTTATGTAATTCTCTTTATTCAAATCTCTTTATCGGCTATACTTGACAAACGTTACACTAAAATTTAGAATAAAATCAACTGAAAACTTGAAAAGAAAAAAAAAAAATCTTGTCGTCTTCTCCAGCTTGGCAAGGCAAGAGACACTTACCCTGTTTTTTCGTTATAAGCTAGTAGCTTGAAGAATAAAAAAGTGATTTTTTTGACTCACTAGTAGCTTAGTAACGAGTAGTAGCTTAGTAAAGAAATTGAACTTCCATGAAAATTTTGAATTTTTTGACTTAATTAAAGAAATTTTGCTATCTTCCCGATTTTATTTCATTGACAATGTCATAAGGCATTGAAACTGATACTTAGAAAGTTAAAAAAGATTAATTAAACTTTATTTTTGGTAGAAGCTTAGTAAAGGTTACAAAAAATTTTCATGTTCAGAAAAACTTTACTAAGCTATTAGCTTAGTAACGAAAAAACAGGGTAAGGTGACTAATTCGACTTTTCTAGTTCTTTATACTCTTTGATGATTCCTTAAGTTAAGTTAGGCAGTGAAGCATCCTCTGTGGGGTAATTGGCAAGGTGATTATCTCAAATTTAGTGTGATAACTCGAATGGCGTCGATTTAAAATCGCCTGCCATTTTCAAATTTGTGTTTTTTTTGAATTTAAAAAAAATCAACTTTTCAAAGTAGGATTCAAGTTCGAAGACGTGCTAAAAGTAATGTTAAATGATCGAAATGGCCAAAAAAATTGTTATGTAGCAGTAGCGAGAGCTATAATATTCGCCAAAATAAAACATTAAGACGAGAGCCTTCAATTCTACAGAACTAAGAATGACATTCAAGTACAGACCATCTAATATTATAATCTAGTTGAACAATTATTTTTATTATATATCTTGGTCCTCAATAAAGCCTTTTTTTGAAAAAATAATCGTTATCTATTTTAGAACGAGGGAATACTAGTCAACATGAACACTAGTTATGAGACCTAAAAATAGTTTTTTATTGGCTGCTAGACATACAACTGCTTAGTAAAGAATATGTGCTTCATACTGAGTTATCGTACATAATATAGATGTAAGAATAAAATTGTAGCGCTTAAAAGTTTAAATTAAATTAAAAAATTCATACGGATTTTAAATTTAAAAAAAAAAACTTAATTGACAAATGTGCTTTAGAATAAAGGATTTTGAAATAAAAAATTTAAACATTTCTCCGTTTTTTTTTAATTTTTTTATTAAGGTATAAATCACTCTAATTTAGTTTTAACATCAACAAATAAAAACCATGGAATAGAAAAAGGATGTAAACAAAACAAAATATAATCACTAATTATGGCGTTTAGTGATATCAATATGATTAATGACATCTTGGGCACTTCTTGCGGGGCACAATAACGTCGATTTCCTCAGATGATTCTTCTGAACGGCTTTCCGAGGATTCGTGATGATTTTTACAGTCATCAACTACAACAATGCGTACTTTCTCTGGTTTACAATCACCTCCTGGACATTTTGGTGTTGTATGGCAGGGTGATGGGGTTGTTGCAACAATATAGTTGTGGTGTGGTAATGGAGCAGGTATAATTGGTGCTGGTTTTGGTGGTGAATGGAGATCAAACAATACTTTCCATAATTGCCAAGTTGGATCGATTGGTGCTGGTTGTGGTGCTGGTTTTAAAGGTGCTGGAGCTGCAGGTACTACTGCATTTAATGGAAGAATAACTGGTTGTCCATTAACAAATGAAATTCTTATTTGATTTGGATTAATTGAAGCTGGAGTTGGAGCTGGAAGTGATGGAGCACTTATATCATTTAAAAGATCATCAGGGATGATATCAAGATTCAATAACCAATTCAAAACATTTGATGTAAGTTGTTGACCAAATGTGAGCCAAAAATCAACTGGTGTACGAGTTGCTTGCCCACATGCTGGACTGTAATTTGATGCAATTATGAGTGCAATAAATATGAATGAAAACTTTGAAACTGCCATTTTTGATATTCGAAATTGAACTGATAAACTTTTCAGAAATACTATCTCATTTTATAGTGCATAAAATTTTGATGGATTGTTTAAACTTTTGATCACACTCTATTTGTTGCTACGTGTGTGCTGTCAATTATTTTCTACAATTCATTCATGAATATTTATAATTGAAAGCACACTCAGCTACTTGTTATAGTTGAAAAAAAGAATAAAATAAAAATCTGAGTTCGTTGATAAAAAATTCCTTGAAATTTATTATTTTGTTTGTGTCACACGCATGCAACAAGAAATGTGAAAATGCAAATCTGGTCTTTACAAAATAACCAGAAAAACATTTTGTGGCTGCAAGCAATGAAATAATTTCTTTAACTTTTTCAATTGATAACAACAAGTTTGCCAAGGAGCTGTTCTCATTTTGCGTAACGCAATATTGAATTGACTAGCAGGTAATAAGTGAACGACCTTGAATTAAATATTGCGTTTGGATATTTTTAATAAAGCTAGTAGTTAAATAATTGTGTCAATAAAGGATGACATATTTAAGGATTCGTTGATTATTATTCGAAGTATTTTCCTACAAGAAGGAAGATTTGCAATTTCGGCAAGAACTGTAGTCGGCAAAGAGCTTATAAAATCAGTTGAAACTTTAAAGATTTGAATTTGAATTTTTAAACATTTCGGGCAGTAAAATTTAAATTCAGGAAAAACGTTATTTGATCATAATTTGTTTTGTTGTTTTTAAGTCATTTTGCTATTAAATAATATAGAACTTAGTTTATTTTATAGCCTTTTTGGGTTAGAAAACATTTTGATATTCAAAAAATTAGCATTAAGTAGCTTAATTCACAAGACTTTGAGATTTTTCAAATAATTTTTTCCTTCGTCATGTTTGTTTACATTTTGACGAAAAATATTTGAAAAAGAAAACGCGAAATTTTATCAAAACCAGATGAAATATTGAATCCATAAATAGTTTAAAACAAAGAATGTGTATCTATTTTATGTTTAAAATAGTAATCTGTAAGAAAACACAAGGATTTTGGCTGAAAATTAACAAAATTTTCTGATTGGCTAAGATTCACCAACCAGCATCTTCAAAAAATAAGATCCGTTTGCCTACCATAGGGCAAGAAAAAGCATTTTGAAACCATTTGAGCTGTTTGAACTTTTTTTTGTCAATTTTTGAAAAACTTCTTAGGATCACGCTTGTGCACAAGCTTAAAATTTCACCTTTGTCACATTGGTCGATTCTTTTACTGATTTAATATCGATTTGATTCACACAAAAAATTTAATTACACACAAAATTCAGACCTTAAACCAAGTGACACTAAGGTTACATTTTAAAATCCATAAATCCATATGGCTTCTCTCGCCTGTTTTGTGTCATTTGAAAAAGGGCCTTCTTGAAATGCAAACGTAATTAATGGAAAACTACAAGTTAATAAATAATAACATAGTCAAGGGTGTGGAACTGATCAAAATGATCAAAAAATTTAATTTAGCGGTTTTGTATCCTTCAACAAAGTAGTGATTGCGGAGAAAATAAAATACAATAAAATAGTCCAGTCATTAATCAATCATTATAAAACGAGGATTACAAAATTTAATTAAATTGACCAAACGAATCAGCATAAATAATGCTTCTAATCGCTCATTTCAATAAGACTCAAGTGAAGAGGACAATCCACTTTTGACAAGAAAACAATAAAATCAATAATTTATTTACTTGAGGTATTAATTCACATTGCTAGCGATGCGTCATGTTTTCGATTCGATTTCGTTCCTTTTTCCTCAATATAACTTTCAAAAAAAATATGAGCAACAAAATGCTGAAATGTTTTAATGTAATAAATTGAATGATAAACAATAAATAGTTTATGTGTGGGTATTACATTGAAATTAATTCTTCAATATTTGATGTTATTATCAATTTTAGAAAATGTTGATGGAAAAAAGAAAAATAAAGAAAAACTGAACACGCAAAAATGATTTTTACGGAAGTTTTGAGGAAAATAAAACTATTTTCATTTTGTTTTAGTCTAATTTTATTAATTTTTATTGACTGTCAGACTTGCTGAGTGAGGAAAATTCTTGCTTTTTATTTATTTTTTGACCTTAATTATTTTAATTGACAACTGAAAGTTTTTGTTATAAAATTTTTGTACGCATCATTATTATTGATGAAGTTCTAGAAACAACAGCTTAATAAATTATAAATTGATTTTTGTATTATTACCAATTGTGGAAGATAGAATTGGAAGGAAAAGTTTCCCAAATTTTTTAAAAATTAAATAAATGAAGGTTTTTTTTATTAAATTTATATATTTTGAGTTTTTATTAAGCAGTTTAATTATTGTAACAGTAATAATATTGAATAACAAATTTTAACAAACAATCAACACAAATTTTTTAAAGAGTCTTTAGTGACTTTCTTCTGAACTGTAGTCTTCAGCATACTTGTAGTGTTTTCGAACAGAGTTTGATTTTCTAGGAACTTCATAAGCCTTAAATACAGTTTTAATTTCTCTGCTCTCTTCAGATTCAGAGTGACTATTTTCATCACAATCCTTCTTTGGCTTTTTATGGTGCTTTTCTGGTTTTTGTGGAGCTGAATTGCATGAGCAACATTGACAACTGCATGGTTTTTCAGTTGTTGTTGTGGTTGTTGGACATGGAACTTTTACGACAATTCTTTTTGGTGGCTTTTCTGTAGTCGTTGGACATGGAACATTTACTTCAAACTCAGCAATGGAATTGTGTTTCTTTTTGCAATCACAATTACAGCCTTGTGGTGGAGTCAAAATATGAGTAATTGAGGGAACTTGTCCAGGTTTAGGTGCGTGGGGTTGGACGACAACTGGTGCAGGAACTGCAGGCTGAGGCATCATTGACTGAATTAGTAGTTTGTATAATTCAGGGTAGTATAAAAAGAGTTGTGAAATTGATGATGACGGATTAACTGGTGCAGGCTGCAAAGGTGTAGGTTGTTTTGGTGCAGGAGCAGGTGTTGGATCAATGTTTAAGATTATTGGTGGTTGGGTGTTTGGGCGTGTTGTTACAGTGCTTAAATAAAATACGTTTAAAATCTATCCCCCATAATATGAATATAAATGCTTACGGTAATGTTGTTGTAACTGGAATTTGTTGATTAGCGGGTAAAAAACCTGACAAAATATTTAAAATTGAATTTGCTACAACTGAAGGATTAGCAGCGTTGATATTGTCTAATGCCAGATTTAAAACTTCCCAATCAGCTTCAGCACAAAACGCTAATTTACTACTTGCTAATAAAAACAATGATAACAGCTTGAAATTCATTTTGAAATACTAATTTTCTTTTTATAAATTGAAAACTTTAACTATTGAATTGAAGTTATAATCTGAATGTGTAAGCTAAAAATCTTTGCTTTTATATCAATCTACATAATCATTCCCTTCCACTTAAACTGCAGGTTTATCTGTTTAAGCACAATATTTACATGTTTTTAAACGCAAAAAATTTAAAAAGATTTTTTCGTAAATATTTTAAAAGCCGTGGCAGACATTCACAATACAATTTCGTCTGTTCTGGCATTGAGTTGTGTCTACAAATTTTACATTTGTCACATACTCTTATCTATTTCACATGCCTCAAAAACATCACGTTAGTTTATTGCACGATTATTTAATAACATGTGGCTATCGCACATATTTTTATTAAGCACCTGATGTTCATTAAATCATTTAAAAAACATTCATAAGCAACAATATCATACCGACTCCTTAACAGACAAGCGAGTATACTCATGGTACCGTAACATACTCAAGAGCATGTTCAGAATGTACTCTTGAGTATGTTACGGTACCATGAGTATACTCGCTTGTCTGTTAAGGAGTCGGTATGATATTGTTGCTTATGAATGTTTTTTAAGCATGTTCAGAATGTACTCTTGAGTATGTTACGGTACCATGAGTATACTCGCTTGTCTGTTAGGGGACGGTTTTGATTTTTACAATTCTTAAGGAGCAAATCTTTTATGCTCCATTGACTCCTTAAAAAATGTTAAACTATTTTACTTAAACTTCGTCTTTCAACCTATATAACAAAACTAGGTTAATCAGAACACAATCTTTGGAATCCCTATACATAAACTCCTTTAAAGAAAGCAAGGCGAATATCCATTGGAACATTTGGATAACATTTGCAAGCATAAGCACAATATGTAATCAAATTTCCAGATCATATCTTGCTTCAGACTCAAATCAATGACCGAAAATCATTTCGTTTTATTATTTCATATTCCTTTATAAAAGAAGTTGAGAGATGCAAGTAAGACTGAAGAAAAAAACCTTAATGATTGATAGAATATGTCTTGCAATAATTTTAGTTCAATAACAATTTTTTTTTGCTGATTTCATGATTTTTTCTTTATTCTTTTAATTTTTGTTTTTAGACTGATGCTTTTTGTATGATATTGGAAAAAAAGAAAGAAAGAATTGGTTGTACCATTTCACATGTGTACATATCTTTCTTTTATTTGTGATATACATAAACAGCAAAAAGAAAGAAAAGTTGAGAATTAAAAGGTTGACTAGAAATTAATCAAATTATTTTCTTTGTGATTTTATAAATTATTTAGAAACAAAGTAAGTAAGTGGATACTTAAATTGAAACCTACTCAATATAATGTTAAGAAATTTAACTTGAGTGTTCTAACCCTAAACCCGTCTAACATATGGTCGGGCTACAGAATAGAGAAGAAAAAAAAATACAAAAGGAAACTGATGAACTTTTCTCTTTAATGTGAATGCAAGTTTTTCTCTCCTTTTTCTCTCTGTCGAGAAAAAGACTTTTGACGCCTCTCAATTACCTTTGTTTGTGTCATTTCCTCTGAAAATTTTATATTCCATGCTTTTGTACTATTTTTAAAATGTAAAAAGTTATTTTTATTTGGAAATCATGCAGTATTTTTAAAAAAAAATTATTATAAGAAATCATATTTTGAAAATTCGTATGATTTAATTTGTGTCTGGTCACAAAAATGTCATTTTTAAAAATAAATTTGTCTACCATGTAGTCTGAAGCTTTTACAAACGGTAAGATTAGAACCACCATCCCGCTAGTGGCCTCTCGACCCTAAGTAGTGATATAGTGATAACAAGAAATATTGTTTGTGCAGAGTCTGATAGTTACATGCTTGTTTTGGAAATAGTGGATTTTAATGTAGTTTTATAAAAAAAAATTGAATAAATTTAATATCACACTTACTACCACAATACTTATCAATTTAGCTCACCCTTGGGTCTATTGATTTTATAGAAAAACTTACACTTGAGCATATAAATTTTTATCAAGGTTGTTTTGAACTTTTAGCACTGTTTATTTCAAAAAAATATATTTTAAAATATATAAAAAATCTTTAATCAAAGGATGGATTTATGCTGATTACAGAAAAGTGTGTACAATTATTGATGTTTAACTCTTAAAAAACGTTTGTGATCTTAAAAAGTAAATAGGGTAAACCATGTTGAAATTTGTGTGTTTTTGCACTTGAAGATTTCATTTGCTTATAACTTTTTAATGCCTCACTGTAAAAATTTACTGTTGGCCTTACACTATTGAAAATTGTTGGAATTTTCATTTTTTTATACTTTTTGATGGTTATGCTGCTTATAGGAAGAGAAATTTGACATTTTTGGTCAAATGTTGAAATTTGTGTGGAAAATTTTAAAATTTGTGCGAAAAAATGTTGAAATTTGTGCGTTTTTTTGACAGCAAGCATTGACACATTTCAATTCAGAAATGTAAACAAACAATATTTTTACGCATTTTCGAGGGTTTTAAATGGTGATTGCTTTCAAGGAAAACTTCTAAATAAACTCCATCTCAATTTTAAAGGACACTACTGCTGCAAAAATGAACTTTTTCCAAGATTACCAAATTTATTTATCAAGTAATAGGGAAGAATTTAATAGTCAAATCCATTTCTGATGACTGAGTATGACGAGAAGACACCATTAAAACCAAGCACATCCTACAAATATTTTTTTTTCCCAAAATTAATTCAGCATAAAGTTTACAGAATATTGCAAAATTGTTTTGATAAATAAAAGAAATAAGAGTATTTTAAAGAAGTTTATTATGTTTATTTAATCATTTATTTGGGACTGAAAACAGGACGCAGTTCTTGAATGCTTTTTTGTATTAATTTTTGAAGTTGGTTGCATTTTTGAAATTTCTTGATTCTGTTTAAATATTTGAGTTAAACACATTTTTCATTACTCTTAGCTCATGTGTTCTTCATGTCATTTTTGTCTTAATCTTGATTCATGCCTATAAAAACCCGATTTTGATTATAAATAATTATTTTTGTTGACAAAATATGCCATTGCTTTCTACGACAATAAACACACAAATTTCAAAATTTGTCAAAAAATTTCGCACAAATTTCAACATTTAAAAACAACTTATTTTAAAATCAATTTTTAAAGTACTTCCAATGACTTTTCTTACACAGATTTTTTTTTAATCGATAAAGCAATAAAGAAAATTTGTTTTTCAACTCTGATGGGGTAAGAAGAATCATTAGTTGAGTCCAAATAATTAAAAAGATGAAAACTTTCATTTTGTATGGGATTTTGAATAATTGAAATTTAAAGCTATGAGAACCTTCAACACAATTCAAAATGAAGTAGAAATGTTTTAATAACTGCTTTACAAAGAACTGCATTCAAATTTTTTCTATAAATGGCTTAGTTTAGCTGATTTACATTTAATTTGAGCGCACAAATTTCAACATTGCACAAATTTTAACATGGTTTACCCTAATTCAGAATTTTACACTCAATGGTTTCTTTTATGCTAACTTCCGGCAGCGTTCGCTTCCTTTTTTTCACAACAAGAATACAATGATGACCTGTTGCATATATGGAATCATATAACAATACTCTCCATCTCTCTCATTCTTCTTTCCATACTTTTCTTATTTTTCAATACGACTGCTGACTTTTAATATTCTTATTTTGTTGCAAATATTTTTTTCGTTTAATATAGAGGGATTACAAACATTTGGGATTCGAGTGTCAAAATCAATAAAGTCATTTAAATCGAATGCCACAAATACTACGAAAACTATAAATTTGCAGGGATGTGTTTGTTTCTAGTGCTTATAAAAACCTGTTGTGTCATATTATTTTAAGTAAATAAATAGGATGTACATGGCAAACACGTACGTGATTCTTGAATTTTTTTATAAATAAAGATGTATTAATCCATTAGTTTCTACTTATTTGCCACTTGAAATTATCTCACTTCATTAAAATCCATTTTCATTCAGATTTTGTTATCATATTCGACATAAAAAATAATATAAAAAGATATACATCCCCAAAAAATTGAAATGTTATGCAAAGATGAAGCATATAAATATTATCATCATAAGTGTTGATCTTTATAGTTATTATTCTTCGTGCTTAAAATCATCATTGAGTCTGAAATTGTTCATTATGTATGCTGAATTTAAATGGCTTCATTTAGCGATTCCTTTTCACTGTTCACATTCACTGTGCATGTATGTACATATATTCTTCATAAAAAATGTCTTTTGGATTATTTATACATCTTCTAGTTCTAACTTTGATGACCAAATGTATGGAATTATAAGAGTATATTTTGAGTTATTCATCAAGCAGTACGTATTATTTAAATTAATGGTTTTAAATAGTGTACACAATATCATGAAATAGTGGAAAGTCTCAAACAAATGGACATTATTCAGATAGACGAATGAACAACATTGTATAAAATAGAGAAAACTATTAGGAAATATTTCTAAATGTTATAATCGAATTTTTCAATGCTTCAATATTTCATAGACTTTTTATACACAAGGACCTTATTTCATATTTGCAATCAACATATAGAGAAAACGAATCCGCATATCAAAATATCAATTTTTATTTTATTTTGGATAAAATGCAATGTGCTATTTTTAAAGCTTCATATTCTTATGAAACAAGTTGTTGGCTGCCTGCCATTAAATTTCATTTATTTCATTTTCTAAACTAAACAAGTTGAAAACTTTCAAAAAAGTCTTTTTTTCTCTCATTGCGACGTTTATTAGATATTCAACGGAGAAAAGGAAAATAAAATGAAATGAGCAAAGAGAAAAACAAGGAAGTGCTTTTTAATATGTTGACAGTTTATTTTTTCATAAATGGTTTTGAGCACTTTTTCCGCAATTACATTTCATATGTTCTCACTCAATGTATATGTCTTTCTAAGAAGACATAAAAGAAAAATATTTAAACTTCAGCATATCCTTGAGTGTCAAATGCGAATGAAAAGAGGCATTTATCGTTTGAAGTCAAATAAACAATGAAATCTAATGATAATAAGGAATAATT